TGTCATTCCTGGGATCATGCATGGACACAGCAATCATCAGACAGGTTCCTCAGCTGAGGTGAATATTTTGAAAGAAGCATTTTCTACTCTGCTTTTAGCAGTTTGTTCTAGAGGCTGGAGGAGATGGCTGTGCCTGTGGACCTGAACGCCAGGACCGTGTGGGCATTCCACTCACCACCTGAGTCTCCCCATCAGGAAAGTGTGGAGTAAGGTGTCCTAATCTTTAACCTCAGGTGTGTTTGACAGCTGACTTAGGTGTGGATATGGTTGGAAAACCCAAAGTCTGACATGTAAACTGTGTCAGCCCAATTCCACGCCCTTGAAACCTGACTGCAATGAGTGACCTCTCTGTCACCATCACAGTCCCAGCACAGAGAGGCCTCTTCACAATCAAGCCTGCAGAAGTTAATGGAGGAATTGTACATATTTAGAAATCACCCTAACAGCAGCTGGTTTAACCTCCTCTGTCACAACACAATGCCAGCTCTTGATACTTCCCAGAAGCCACTGCTTGAAAGATTGCCAGAGGCCCTGTCAGAGATGTCTAGCAGTGACACTGCTTCTGACCTGTTTGAAGTAGTGTGAATGTGGATTCCACCCAAACTTGCCCAGTTTCAGACTGAGTAGAAGTTGAAGCTGAACTTGAAGTAGAACTGTGCTGAACTTGAAGCTCAAACTACCACTTTGCTTTAGCAAATTTACTTCTCCATAGCAGATATAATTTCAGGATCTGTCTTTTTCTCGTTTTAAATGCTTCATTCAATCTATGTCGCCCATCACTCTGGTATCCAAACACTAATAAATATAAATACTATTTATGTGACAACAGTTTGGAAAACTACAAAAAAAAACCAGGCACATGCATTCAGATCTCAAGTTAAAAGCAAATTCAGTCTTTGGAAAAAAACCCAACCAAACAAACCTAATATAAGAGAAACAAATGAAAGATTTCCTAATGAAATTTATTCAAGAAAATTACCCTATTGACCTGATAATATTAAATTTTTCAAATGTTATTATATTTAATAATGTATTTCCTCAGAGTCACAGCACTGAAAAGCATAAAGTAAATATCAGAAGCCACTGGACTTGTGCTGTTAGAGAATAACAGACATCTGCATATATATATATATACACACACATGCTAACATTAGCAGCGATCATTTGCAAATAAAAATGCAGATCCAGATACCTTGTGGATTTCTAAAATATACTTAATGACTTTATTTGGAAACAAGACAGTAAAGAGGAGAGGAGGGAAAAGAATTGGGATTTAGTGGTCCAGAATTCTAGTTGTAGTTTCTGCAGAAATATTTTGTGTCATCTGGGTCGAGGAAAAGACACAGTGAGTGGCAGCAGATAACAGCTACAGAGGAAGCTTCACTGCTCTGTGTGAAGACCCCAGTTTTTCTCTACCAGGGGCAGTACTGCCAGAGAAAGAGAAACAGTTTGTCTTTTAAATTCTGCTTTCAAGAGCCTCTTCAAGGTGAAGTGGTGAGGTGGCTGGTGGCTTGAAGAGAGAAGCAAGAAATGGAAAAAGACTGGAGTTTAGATTAAGTATAGTGCTGCCATAGAAACTATCCAGGCCAGCTGAAGAGACAGTATTTATTTTGTACAGTTAATTGGCTGATAGAGATTTTTTTTAAAACTGGGCCAAATGCTGAAGAGTCAGTGGCAGTTCTCCAAACAGAGCACTTTTTATACTGGAAAAGGAAAAGCAAGAAAAACCCTGTCACCTTTCTCTTACTGTCCATGCAGAAAACAGGGTCAAAATGGAAGTCAATGGGAGATTTGCTGTTGGTTTTGCTGGGCCAGACACCACCCCAGATATTTGCTTTTCTGCTTTCAGACAGGTACATTTGACTATCACCAATCAGCTGCCCTCTATTAGTGTTTTTTTTTTTTTTTCTAGTGTTTTCCAGTCTTCATGGCTAT